TTGACCTAAACCCGACTAAGTCGCAACCCGACCGACTCAACCCGAACTTCACATAATCCACTTGAACAATTATTATATCGTATAATACATAGTTTTTCAAAATAAAGTTTTTCATTTTAAACTTAGGTAAATTTTTTTCCGGTAATTAGAACTTTACCATTGAGCACCCTCTTGGCTAAAACCAGCACAAGAATTCGAAAAATACACAGGCTAAAAGCCCACAAAATCCCCTTACATGAAGAGAAAACCAAAAACTACTACTCTATGCATTTGACAACAACTAGTAGTTAGCTTCAGTTGGGCAAGAAATTCAGGATGGCCACAAGCATAGAGTCGCATCTCCTCTCTGATCAACTCTGCCAGCACTTTAACAGTTTGAGGTTGCTCCCCAAATACACGTCGACATCGTTCCTTCCACACAAAACAGACACACCAACTCCAAACTGCGGCTTCAATCAAACCACAACTACCATGATCCTTGATTTTCTGAATCATAAACAGCAACATACAATACCACTATTGTAGGATATGCATCCTATATCCCAGCACCACAACAACTATCTCCTGCACATACTCACACTGACAGAATAAATGATTTATGATTTCCTCTACCAAACCAGAAAGCGGACAAGAACTATCATTGATCAAACCCCAAAGCTTGAGCTTGTCCCTTGTGTTAATCCTGTCCAGCAGAATCAACCAAACCTGCACAGTGTTTCTGGGCAACATATATTTATTCCATACCAATTTCCACCAAGCAACCCTTGGTTGCTTCTTTCGTATTGATTCCCAAACAGTTGAAATCGAGTACTTCTCCAACTTCTTCCCCTGCCACTTGACACAACCCTGCTCTACCTGCATTTTGAATCTCAACCAAGAGCGAATCTTAAGAATCTGCTTCCAGATTCAAGATCCACAAGAAGTAATACGCCTCCCAAATGGAAAATCCTCTGAGTCGATACCCAGAAATCCAGGCTACCCAAAAACTCTCTCCTTGGAGAAGAAGTAACCAAATCAGCCTAACCATAGCCGCCACATTCCATGATACCAGATCCTTTAACCCCAGACCCCCTTCTTTTTTAGGTAAAGCCAGAATGTCCAAGAAACCCTTGCTTTCCCTGTTTTCGCTCCATGCCAAATAATGTCTGAGCAAATCTTTTGAATATTTTTCAGGACTTTCTTAGGGATGAGGAAAATGGACATCTAGTAGTGTACTAAGGAATAAAGCACCGACTCAACCAGTTGCAGTTTGCCAGCATAAGAAAGCCTATTTTTCCTCCAGCTCCTGATCCTACTAGTAATCTTATCAATTAAGACAACACCTTCACGACTCGATAGTTTTCTAGAAATTAGTGGAAGACCAAGATATCGTACAGGCAAAACCCCTTCCTTAAAACCTGAAACTCTGAGAGCATTTTCCTTGAAAAGATGGGCATACCCTCCAAAAAACACCTCACATTTATCCGGATTACAATGAAGACCAGACATCTTATAAAATTCATTCAAAGTGCTCCTCAAGCCATTCAATGCAACTCCTGATCCCTCAGAAAATATCAAGAGATCATCCGCAAAACATAAGTGAATCAGACCCACCTTCTTGCATTGTGGATGATATTGCAAAAATCCCTTACGGGCCGCATCATTTAACATGCCTGTTAGAGGTCCCATAGCAATAGTAAACAAGTAGGGAGACAATAGATCCCTTGGCTAACCCTTTTGCATGAGGAAAAAAGCAAAATAAACTCTCATGGACAGAAACACTTTGCTGAGGTAAAGAAGGTCACAGAAGAGTACGTCCGCTTGAGGAAGGCTGAGGAATCTTTTTTCAGGCAGAGGTCTAGGATTGGATGGTTAAAACTCCTCTTACTTTCATAACTCGGCTAGGATCAGAACAACTAGAAAGCAAATAAGGAAACTGATTTCCTCAGGAGGAGAGGTGCTGACTGATGTTAAAGACATAGCTGATGAAGCAGTGATGTACTATAAACATCTGTTTGGAGTGGTAAATTCTGAGGTTCAAGTGGATGAACATGTTATTGAGAAATGTTTGGGCGGAAGGCTAAGTGCTATAGAGCAACTACAACTGTGTGAGGAGGTCTCTAGCCAAGAAATCTATACTGCTCTCTTTGATATGGACCCCTCAAAGGCCCCTGAACCAGATGGTTGGAATGCAAAGTTCTATCAGAAGAGCTGGGGACCATTAGCACGAGGATTACTGGGGGGGGGGGGGGGGGGGGTTAAACAGTTTTTCACGGATTGTACTCTGCCAAGAGGTATGAATTCTGCTTCACCAACTCTGGTCCCTAAAACACCGAATGCATATCAGTTGAACTATTTTAGGCCAATTGCCTGTATAAATGTGATATATAAAACTTAGGTAAAATTATTTCTTCATTTTGTATAGAAAATTTAAAAATATGACACTCACTTGATATTATGCATTTTAAAGAAAATTACAAAAATTAAAACATGAAGGTCACTTGAACACTAAGTTCTTTAAAAAAATTAAAAAGTAAATATGAAATATAAAATAAGCACAATGTGAATATTAATAATGAATAATTAACAATTGAGATCATGGAAAACATTAATATAATAAATAAATTAAATTTTTTTGTTAATTTAACTATTCAATAAAGTTATCAATTAAATATAAATAAAGTCAAGCCATGTATTTGGTAATTTGATGCTTTTAAAAGAAGATGAAAATTTTGGTGTATTCAACTTTTTGCGAAGAGAAAGAAGAAAAAAATTAGATTCTTTGAATTTTTTAGAAAAGAAAAAGGGGGAATTTTGGTGGTTTTGATTTGTGTGAAGTGAAGCAGTGAGACAGTTTGGTTCTTATGATTATGGAAGAGAAATAAAGAGGGAAATTTTGATTTTCAACTTTTTGTGAAAGGAAGGAAGGAAGAGGGAAATTTGGTTTTTCAAATGGAAGAGAAAGAGGAGGGAAATTTGGTTCTTTCAATTTTATGGAAAAGAAAGAGGAGGGAAAATTGAATGTTTCTAATATATGGAAGGAAAAAGAAGGAGAGAAATTTTAGTATTTTAATTTTTTTTGGTGAAAAAGAGAGAAGAAAACAAATTTGGTGTTTAAAACAATCATTTATTTTAGAAAAGTTCACTTAATTTGTCTACTTGTTTTCTATACTTCTACATTTATTGCAATTTCAACATTACATGATCTTTATTTTACAACACTTAGTACAATTTTTCCCAATTTAAGTTGTGTTCAAGTTGAACTTTTATTTCAAAATGGGTGTTAAACTTGGCATATTAAGTCTTACGATTGCAATAACTCAGTCGGATTGCAGGTTTGAAAATTTTGATTAATCGGGTTGCGGGTCACTTTGGAATGGAAAATGAGAGGGAGGTTTGAATGAGATCTTTGGAATGAAAATTTTATGGGCGGGTGAATATGAGTCAACAATTATATTAAACTTGATAAGTAATTTTTGACGGTTCGTTGTGTAGGGTATAAAGTATATGGTTAGGGTATAAGGTACAGATGGTTTAGGCTTTAGGGTGTATATGGTTCGGGTATAAGGTATTGATGGTTTTGACGGTTCTAAGTTTTTTATTAACATATGTTCACTTGAAGTCATTTAAAATCTTTAACGGCAGGAGATCCCTTTTTAATTTATGTTTGTGGTACGTGGTTAGGGTATAGGGTATATTGTGTAGAGTATATGATATATGGTTAGGGTATAGCAAATATCACATTTTTATCTATGTTTCGAAAGTCAAAGTATGAATTTCACTTTAAATTAACTATACTAGCAAAATCACAACTCATAGGGATATATGGTTAGGGTATATGGTATGTTGTTAGTGTATAATATATTGATGGTTTAGGGTATACGATCGACAATATATATTAACTTAATATTGTCGATTGAGAGTAAGGCTAAGTGTATAGGATATACGTTATTGTGTAAGTTACGAATGAAGTCACAACAATTTTACTAAATTTGATAGTTAATCTTTAATGGTTCAATTTTTAGAGTAATTCGAACAACTTTACAAATAACTCATTTGGCAACAGTTTACTGACGTTATTAGGGCAATGAGTTATTTCGAAATAATATCTTTTACCACTCTTCTTTTGTCAAATACCATATGCCAAATACCAAATTTGCATGGTTATACTAAACGAGATACTTTAATCCAATTACTACTGAAATAATATTAAAATACCAAATAAATAATTACTGGTGTCTTTTGGTTACAATTGTTGCTATTGTACTTTACCAATTACGATTAATTACATAACAAGTTTGCAAGCCATATAAATTGATTCAACATTTTGACTATTTTTTTTAAATTAAGTATATATGAGGTAGAAAAAATTGGTTAAAAATTACGAAAAATATTTTAAATTAGTGTAATAAAATGTATAAGTTGGTAACGAGTAAGGAGTAAGTTACTCAATGTGCTGACCCGAACAACCCGCAACCCGCCCAACCCAAAACCTAATGAACCCGTAACTCGATTGAACCCGAACCGGATGAGATGAACCCGCAACCCGACTAACGTGCATACCTTTTGAACCCGAACCCGATGAGCCCGAACCCGATAAACATGCAACCTGATGAACCCGCAACCCGTTTGAACCCGAACCCGATTGAACCCAGCCCGAACCCGCCCGATTGACACCTATACCTATGACGTAAAATCAAAGTACATATTTATAGTAAAATAAAACCCTAATAATAAACCTAATACTACTTGAATTCTACTAATCTTGATTAATAATAATTCTAATAATAATAATAAGGACCCCAAAATGGGGTTCTATCGGTCTGGGAAGAACATGCCGCCTCACGAGAGGGACCATGGACAAGAATGACATGGTGGTGAAAACCACCATCCGAAAATCCTCATTCATCGATCATTACTCTAATTCAACATGCTGCTACAGACTGTTAAATTGAAATACAGGTTATTGATCAAATCACGTTTGATTCGTTTGTTCACAGATGATTGAGTTATACAATTTTGCCAAACATTACAGTTTATGCGAGGTTCAGAATCAAGCAATATCAGTTGTTGTAGCTTTGCTTTTCTTCCTCAATCACTACTTAAGAGATAGATCACATTGCTGAAGGCGCTCACAGTTTCTTAAACTATACGGGTATGTGTACATGGCTGTTGTTGTGCATCTATAACTCTCTTTTTCGTATTCTCTGCTTATGAAGTTTAGCTTCTTTTATAGATGTAATCAGTCATGTCATGTGGCATTTGGATCACCGGTTCTGTTATACATGTAATCAGTCATGTGGTCTTTGCTGCCCTTTCCTTTGCCTCTTCCTAGGATAGTTTTGCAGATGGAAAGAAGTGTGCCCAAGATGGCGCAGGATTCGAACCATTCGTTCATGGTAATTAACCAATGTAATCTGTTATTGCATTTTCTTTGTTTTCTGTAACAATTATAAGTGGACTGTCATCAAGGTTAGTAATAAATAGCTAGAGTCTTTAGTAGTTTTTGATCCTCAATGTTGCTTACCAGTCTTTCTGATTTCAAGGATGTAATGGCATCAATGTTATCTTCACATGCTGGAAATAATCGTTTGTTGCTAATAATTCCCATTAATAGCTTAATAGATACAAAACAGAAGTTCAAAAGTTGAACCTACTGTGCCCTGTGAAAAAAAACATTACGTCACCACTTTACCAGAGAAATTAAGGGAAATTCCCCTGGTGTTGTAGCCAGTATTGCCATGTTCTTCATATCCCTCAAATGACGAGGGAGTCTTTGGTTCGAGACTGTCTTGCAAAACTACATTAGGTTCTGCTTACTTTTGCATCAAGTATAGAGTAGAGTTGTTCTAGGTTGTCTATAACAAGGATATTTAGGTTCTGCTTACTTTTGCATTTGTCTTGAGTGATTATTACTTTCTTTTATGTTTGGATAGAAGATCAGCCAATCAGGGGATTATTTATACATTGTAATTTTGGATTAACCATGTGACTGTGTGAGTGTCATCAATAACATTGCAGCATTCTTATAGAAAGAAGTAGTATTCATTACGTGTGTGTGTGTGTTTCAGTTCCTAATTCAACATCTTATTCCACGGTATAGCTGATAGATAAATCCCCTGGTTCTATATCTTTTGAAATTTGTGTTAAGGGTTAGGTTTTTCTGGGAATCTAATTCGTGTTTCTATCTTTTGCTAAACTCCAGCTGCAACTGAAAGAAAGAAACTTCTCTTTCAGAGTTGTAGACTTGATTCTGCTGACGTAGGAGGCAGTGAAAGTGATGGCGACAAACCGTGACTATTTAATTAAATATTTTAGTACGAACTCTGCATCGTTGGATGCATCGTCGCCATGCTGCTACTCTTTACGAGGCAAGTTACAGACTCTTCAGTCCAAACTATGTTTTATGCAAGTAGCAAACTGATGTTTAGAAGTTCTGTTTAACTCTATTATTAGTACCTGTGTTGGATAGTTATCTGTTATCGTCTTTTGTTTGCCATTTAATTTGTAGTGTTTATGCTAGCTATACTATGTTTGTCATTGCTAGCAGTAACAGATTGTGGGTAAGTTCGATAAGTCAAAATTGCATGGGGGCTGGGGTTACGGGTGTCGGGTGTTACGGTTGATCCCACTCACCAATCAAACCGAAGCATGCATACGAAGTGAACTAATTTCTTTGAGGTAAAAAATCAAACTCAACAAAATGTGCAAAAATATCAATCTAGTCAAGAAAAAAGCACGCATAGGCAAATATGAGGATAAGAAACAACTAACGAATGGCGTGTTCAAAGTAGATTATCATGATTCATATATAATCGACCTATAGGTTAGAGCTTATTGAGTATTATTTCCTCCATAATTTCAACATCTAGCTAATGATCGAAGAAGCAAGTATTGTGAAACCGTATCAGAAGTTATATCAGAGAATTATGAGATAAGGTATTTTGTATTAAAACTATGGTAGTTCAACCGTTTCGTACGGTAAAACCGCCTACCCTTTCGTGCCCAACAAGCGATATTACCAGTCCGTCCGGGCGGTAGGGTACAATCTCTGAAACATTGGATCGAAGTAGGCCAGCAATGGACACGAGGCTGGAACACCATAATACAACTGACAGCAGCGCCACCTTCTAGCTCAGCAAAAAACTCCACCTCTTCTCTTTGCAGATCCCAGGACAGTATAGCGTTCGCATCACCCCCATCAAGCCAGTTGAACAGCAAAACTTCTGGCTTACATGGATGCAGACACAGTTCAAGATCGCATCTCTCAACTAAATAGTTACTACACCTCGATTTCTTGTTGCATACCAACCCTTCACACAGTTTCCTCCAGGATCGTCGGTCTTCTTCCAGTCTCCAAACACTTGAAAGCCACCCAATGACACCTACTCTGCCCTCGAATGCAATCACGTGCAGTGCGCCTTGCGAGACCGAAATAACCCACCACGCTTTCGCATCAAACGCAGAAACATCAACGGAAGTGGGGGGTATATCGAGACGGAAAGGATTGAAGGCCGCCACCGAACCATGGAGCCGGTCTTCTTTCAGATCTTCGAATTTATGATAGGACCAGAACAACTCCCCATTGCACGAAACTACAGTTTTGTTTCCGATCCTCAGACAGCGGCGGAAAGCAAGAATCTCCCTGGTCCACTTCCAGGACTCGGAACAAAACACGTCTAGCATCGTTGTCGGCCCCACATTATAAATACACACGACTCGGAACCGATACTCGGAAGAATAGACGAATGCTTGTTCATCATCACCCAGATCAAATTTCCTAGGATTGCAGGGTTCACAAACTAACCTGGCGAGGGATTGGGCGTAGTCAACGTGCTTTTTAGGCGCTAAAGGAAGGGCGACCCACTGCTTGGTGAACGGATTGCAGACCAAGTACGATCTCCTCGACTCGTGGTTGTCGTTATCCAAATCCCAGAACCCGCACAAAACCCAGTCCTTGAAGCAATCCAGAACTCTCAATTCGTCTCGGACGTGCACGCGAGGGAGGAAGCTCCGGACGGTCGATTGCAGCTCGTTCGGATCCTCCGGCAGAGGGAGTTGGTTCCAACTCTGGTGGTGGTGATGAATTAAGCGGCGGTTGAAGGAGGGAGTGGAGATGAGGGAGCTCCACCGCTTGCAGACTGATTTACAAAGGCAGGCGGGTTTAGGATCGGAGAGGCGGATGAGAATCTCTACGAGGAGATCGTCTCCAAGCTGGGTGATCATGGAAGGAGCTTGTGAACGGAGAAAGATAGCGCCGCGACGATAGACGAATGAAAGAAAGATCGTGCCAGCGGCGGACGAGAGTAGATATTTGAAAAGCACAGCGGAGAATCGCAGAGAGCGGAGCTATTGAAGTCACGAATGCCCCTCCGTACTGCTTTATCTAAGTCTAACCGGTTAGGGCTTGGGCCCGATTATGTAGCTTCAACTTTACAGTCTCCCAATGTGTATATGGGCTGCTGTTCACTTCATGGGTTGGGCCTTCTTTAACCGAGCATATTTAAAACTTTTATTCGTTTCAATTTTGTCTGATGCTTTGTGAAGGGACTAGTTATTAATGATTATAAATTATGTGCATTCGATTATCAACACACCCCATCATATTTACAGCTAAGTCGGATCGATGGATGACAACCAGTGGTGGATTCCGAAGCTCCTTTCAAAATCCACCCACCCATCATTGATCAGTGATGAAAGTCACATCCATTTGTATCATTAAGAGTAGAGGTGTCGATCGGTGGGTTCGGAGTGGGTTCAATCAAGTTACGAGTTAGTTGAGTTTCGAGTTCATTATATTGCGAGTTAGTTGGGCTCGGGTTTATCGGGTTGCGGGTCTGTCAGGTTACAGATTATTTGGGTTATGGGTTGTAGGTCGATTGGATTACATGTTGATGGGATATGAGTCAGGCGAGTGCGATCGGATAAGGTTGCGGGTTGTTTGGATCATCATATTGTGTTACTAATTCTTTACTCATTACTTTTTTTTTTACCAAAGGTAATCATATATTGATTCAAACGAATAGGCAATTACATTGTTGCGGGAATTAATTAAGCAATTAGCAATTTTTATATTTTTATCATTTCGGCATTATTTCGTATTATGATCAAATCGGATTAAGAGGAATTTGAATATCTCAATTAGTTGAGATTTGGGGAATAAATTGTGGGGATAATTCAGGATAGTTATAGAAAGAATTTTGTTATATTAGTAGAGGATTGCTTTAGGTGATTAATCAAGCTATAATCAAAATTCAACTTTGGAAACTCCCTCTCTCTTCTTCTCCGGCCGATCCCTATCTTCCTAGAACCCTTCTTCTTTCTTCTCCCACGCCAAAACCTTCATCTTCTCTAAACCTCTTTAAATCTTCCTTTCCTCCAACAATTAACCCTTCATCACACTGCCAAGGTCCAGGCCTACAACATACATTCTGGAGTTCAGTCAGGCCTGGAAATCAAAAGAACGACTCGTAGTCGGGTACGAAGAAAGGACATTTCTAGCCACCACATAAGCTATCTTATTGCTACGTCGACCTACAAACCGAATACTAAACCAAGGGTGAAGGGCAAAAAAAATGCACGATCTCTTCAAGAATAGCCCCCACCCGGTTATCGGGAAAAAATTCAAAACTACCATTGTTTAAAAAAAAATTACAAAAATACCACCCATTCTCAAGAATTTCCAAAAATACCATCCTTCAACATAAACCGCGCCTCGAAGGCGCGATTCTCAGTCAAACCGCGCGGGCAAGGAGCGGTTCAACCCTTCGTAGCTGTCAAAACGCGCCTCCACGTGGCGGCCTACGCAACCGCGCGATGGGCAGGTGATCTGACAGCTTAACCGCCTGCCAGCGCAGCGATCCGCTTCGCTCACGAAAACCGGTCTGAAGCGCAGTCTGTGCGCTGGGAAATGTAAACCGCTTGCTGAAGACGCGGTTTTGCGTGGGGTAAAAAGACCAAACCGTCCCTCCAGCACGCGGTTTCGTCCCTATATAAACCCACCCCTTCCTCCCATTTTCTGCACACCAAACCCTCATTCTCCTCTCTCTCTCTCTCTCTCTCTCTCTCTCTCTCTCTCTCTCTCTCTCTCTCTCTCTCTCTCTCTCTCTCTAAGTTCCTCACTCTACCCATCCCCCTCCCCACCCAAAAACCTTGGAAGTAGTTGTTTTGTTGGTTAAGGCTAATCCGATCTGCCTTCAAAAAACTCTTTCTTTGGTTTTCACTAAAAACTCGTCGAATCTCTGTCCGGATTCTGAAAAGATGACCGATTTTATCCAAGAAGAGGGTATTTACTATGATGATTATCAAGCGGTACGTACTCATTTGACCTAATTTTTGTTGTTGTCATAATGGTTTATTTGATTTATATACTAATGGTTTATTCAATAATTTAATTCAATACAATATAACACTTATTTAGACTCTTTATAAAGAAATGCATGTATAAGGAAATGGGGTCTTAACCAATCATCATGATCCTCCCATGACCTGAGAAAATCGGGTTCTAAGCGATCCTCGGATCCCCCTTCTTCTATCAAAAAGACTTTGTTTCTAAGGAGATATATATCTCTCCTAAGATTCTTACGAGTGTACTTGTATTGCTTTAAATTATTGAAAACAATCAATACGAAGTACAAAATAATATATTTGATTTTATGTGTATGTGTACAAAAAATAATTGTACTTAAATTTCGAAAATGATTTTAGTTATGTTAAATTTAATGTTTATTAGATAATGTATATTTCTATAAAACAACCTTGACTTAATTAATATTGTTTGTTATAATAGATTTATATATGTATAAATCATCAACTTATAGTGAAAGTTAAATTCTTCTCTACTATGCATACCATATAGTCCGCTGTAGGGGTACAACGAATGTGCTTGAACGGAACGACGTCATCTTGCCCTTCTAAAAAGGGCAAGATTGGATTCAATTAGGCACTTTAATGGAATAAAGATCGACGCCAACTCATCACAGCATTGGTAGAGAGATGGCGAAAGGAGACACGTTGCTTCAATTTTCGTGAATGCGAGTGCACCATCACACTTAAGGACATCGCCATCCTAACCGATTTTCCCATCGATGGCGATGTTATTTGTGTGGACTCTACGCCACCCCCTAAATTTGTTACCAATATGAGTGGTTGGCAGCATTTTATATGGACCGTCACCGGGTTGTGTCCGCCAGAAAAGGGAGATCACGATGCGGATGGTAATCCACCATTGTCCAAGGGCCAAGTATCCATCACTTGGTTGACAGCGGAGATCAGGCGTAAGCACAACCCTGAGGTCGGAGGCATTCCCCTCACGGAGGAAAGTTCGGATCGTGATAAAGACATTTATGCACATATCTACATCGACGGTATGATCGGAGGAGTTTTCTTCCACAAGAAATCCAACAATTTAATCAGCAATTCATGGTTGAAGATCATACTTGGAGATTGGGATGATATGGGAAACCTGAGCTGGGCATCTGCTTGCCCATCTCATCTCTATCGCTCCCTCTGTAATGCTAGTGCGAGAGCGGTGAAGGAGATTGATGGGGTCATGTTCATCGTCCAATTTTGGGCTTGGGAGCATTTGCCATGGATTGGGCCGAAAGTAGACCCCGACAAGGAATGGGGACCCGACCATCCCCTACAACATGAAGCTTATGGTTGTAGGTAAATATTTTCTATCCCACTCATAGTTCTCACCTTTTTTTACTAATTCACTATTTATAATGAAATTTTTAGTATGTATTAACATGATGTACTTTTTGGAATTCATAGGTGGCTTGGTGAAAAAACACGCGAGAACCTAGGAGCATAAGTTGGAGGAGTATCGTAGGAGGTTGGATCGCCTTTGGGAAGCAGAGGTAACTATCATAATACACTATTACTTCCTGCTTTATTTTCAACTTATAATATTATGTTTCTTAATGGTCCATTTTTCTGCACCTTCGTAGCTTAAGTACGATCAGTATCCAGAACGCATCGTCGCGCATCACGTCCACAAGTTCCTGTTGCATCCCGCTCATGGTGCATCCGAGTGCCACTAATATGCCTCCATATAGTGGAGTGACACTTACCGGATCGATGTCTACGACAATTCGGACGTAAGCAATGCCTACCATTGGAAGTCCCGGCGAGTCAGAGGGGGTACCACGGGAAAGATGGTCGACAAGGATCTACTAATTGGCCCCAGGAGTTTGAAGAATTGATCGTTCTGTGGAATGTTAGGCAATATCAGGATATTGTGACGGCGTCAGATGTGTGGCGGATGGGCTACCATGGCCCATACATGGAAACATACCGAAGACAATTTGTTCGTTACATGACCCCCGAAGGTGCGGCGGACGGAGCTTTGATAAGTAATTCATTCATATTAATTTATTTATTTACTTCTGAGTATCAATATATTTAGGCATGCGGTGCATTACTACTTAAATGGCTAACGTTGTTATTTTCTGCGATTTAGGTTGATGGCATCGAGCGTATACACGACCTCGCTCGTAATGCAGATCCTTCGGCTGCGGGTCGAGAGGTGGGGCTCATTCGAAGGATAGCGAACAGTCTCCTTGGCTGTATGAGAGCGCGCTCTCGTGACTATCACAGATACCTGCCAGTTCCCCCAGTTACACCGCGACCGGTGACGGAAGATGTCCCCCACGTACCTCCGCCGGTCCATAGAAGGCCAAACAAGGCTACAAGGAATCGACCTCACCTGCCCGAGATCAAGCCGATTGAGGCGTGGAAGCTGGCTACTCCATTGGAGGTGTGCAGCGGTGCAAGGTCGAGTACTCAGTATGAACCCCGATCGAGTTTTCACTACGATCCGCGACCGAGTGCTTTCTACGACCCTAGTACTCAACATGAGCCTCGCCCCAATTTCCACTACGATCCCACGCTCGGTTACCACTATGATCCCCGACCGAGTTTCCAATACAATCTCCGGCCCAGTTTTCACTATGATCCCCGACCAAGTACATTTCATGACACCACATCCTCAGGTACTTGGGCCGATGGTTCATACTCAAGTCCCCACCAAGACTTCTCACCTTTGCATCGACCGCAACAACAATGGCAATCCACTCCCCATCATATGAGCGTGGATAGTCCTCGACCGCACATGGAGGGGCCACCTAGCACGACACCGCGGCGACATAGCACAGACCAGCGCCCTTCTATTGCGAATAGGAATATTCCACCACTTCCAACCCCTATTACACCCGGTGGACCAGTCGCCCATCGCACAAGAAAACAAAGGGCAAATCGTCGAAATAATGCATGAGTGTGACAAGTTGTGTTTATTTCAAGTTATGTATTGTTTAAGTTAAACAAGTTGTTTTTATTTGAAGTTATTTTTTACTTCATGTAGAAGTGTGTTTGTGTGAGTGATGTGTTTATTCATAAAGATGGAACATTGCATCGAAGTGT